TGATAAGAAAATAAAAATACGATCTAAATGGATGATAGAAAATTAATTAGGATCTGGAATTTAATAAAAGCAAATATGATTTAGTTGGATTTTTTTTTTCTTTCAACTTTCCAATTTTTTAATTCTATATTTGAACATTATTTAATAAATTACCTAAAAAAATATGCCATATCTAATTAATTAATTAATTAATTGGTCCATGTAAAAGAAAATGATATTGTAAGGCTGTTATAATTAATAAAGTAAATTACAATTGTGGTGCTTATCTTTTATACAAATATATGAAAATTGTTCAAAAACTTAATAAGTATAAGAATAGTCGTTACGATTTTCGTTTTACTTTGAGAAGAGTCCCTTCGACTAACGTTGTTACGTAGATTATCCGAGTGAGGAACAGTTTCATTATTTATTTAAGATTTTAATAAAATATCATATATATATATATATATACACACACACACATACGTATATACACATTGAAATCCACCTGCCACTCCGACAGCCACTTCCAACTCCAACCAAATTCGAGACCCACCTCGATTTTCAAGACCCACTTTCATCTCCGTCCAACTTCGAGGCCCATTTCCAACTTTGAGAGACATAGGTGTGATGTTTGGTGGTGGAAACGATGGCAAGGGTGGCGGGGAAGGTGAAGGTGGTGGTGTTGAGGGTGGCGGGGAATGGTGTTCGAGGGTGGCTAGGAATGGTGAGGATGGTGTTTGAGGACGGAGAGTGCTTGAGGAGGACCACCGAAAATAGATCCAACGCGAAAGGAGGGAGGGCTTGGGTGGGTTACGTCTAAGAGTAAAAGACAAATCAAAACAAAAAAAATACAAACAACTATCATTTAACAGGTAATTTCTAATAACGTTAAGTAAAATGGACCATTTTCAAAACAATATACAAACTATAATGACTATTTCTCTACTTCTTAAATCACATGGACGATTTCATATATAAATTGTAATTTGTTCTAATTAGTAATAATTTTCTTTAAAATGTTTTACTAAACTAAAAAGCGAACTAAATCAAACATGAAAACATACTTGTTATTTAATTAAAAAAAGAGTAAAGTTCACTTTTGGTCCCTAATGTTTATCATTTTCAACGGTTTTCATCCCTCAAGTTTGTTTTAACAGATTTGTTTCTCACGTTTGACACCTTGCAATGATTTTTGCCGCTCATCCTAACGGCCATTAAACTTTACCGTTAAATCCAATTTAATCAAACTTTAGGGACTTGTTATATAATTATCTCTAACATATATATATAGACCAAGACCAAGACCAAATCGTCGGAGACATCCATCGGCGGCTGCAACCATCTCTTTCATCCTCAACTCACACTAGTGATTGACACCAACCGCTGATCACAACCAACACCAAAGATGAATAGATTTAGATGAATCAGATGAACAAATCATAATATAAATCCCAAATTAGATGAACAAATGCAAATCATAATCTAAATCCAAACAAAACCCCAAATCGGATGTTTATACATATCGAAATAAGAACGCTAAAAGAAACCACGTGTTATAAATCAAAATCTAAATACCAAGAAGAAAAAACCTAAATTTAAAGAATAACACAAACCCCAGATCTGTACGGACGGAAAAGTGACCCCAAAAAATCGACGAGAAAGAGAAAGAATAATGGTGAGGGTGGGGTTGCTGAAGACGAAGCTTGATTTACAGAAAGAGAAAGAGATTGAGGGGTAGGTCATCGATTTACAGAGATATATCAAGGGGGAACGTTCATTGGAGAGAGGTTTAAGTGAGGTTTTCATCGGGGGAGGTTTAATTTTCATCGGAGAAGGCCGAGGGTGGATTACATTCTTGGTCCCTGTGGATTATAAAAAATATTCAAAAACTTATATTAAAGAGTAAATTACATTCTTGGTCCTTGTGGATTACAAAAGAAATATTTTTAATAAAAAAATTGTGAAAATAGGTAAACTGACCAAAATACCCTTCATTTATTTGGATTTAACAGAAAAAATTACCGATTATTAAGAGGAGGGACGAAAATTCTTGTGACGTATCAAACGTAAGAAACAAATCTGTTAAAATAAAGTTGAGTGACAAAAACCTTTAAGAATATCAAACATTAGGAACCAAAAGTAAATTTTACGTACTCTTAAAAAAAACATTTAAACATATAAATAAATAAAAAAAAATTGAAAATACAGAAAATTAAATTTGTATTTATCATATTGACGTAATGGCCTCATTATTCTCAACTGTCTCCATAAATAATTGCATTTAATTGTTTTTAATGGTTTTCTCAATCTAAAATACATTACTCTTGTTTTTCAATGCTTGAACTACCCCATCTCATTCCACATTTACTATCATACCTTTTCTTTTTCTTTTTCTTTTTCTTTTTTCATTAATCACAATAAAAATCATTTTTTTAATATTAAAATTAAATAAATCCTTTTATAACTTAATGGAAAAATCAATCAAAATTCATGCATATCATGTATTTAATTTAATATTTGTATAAATTATAATTTATAATTGGAGGATGGAAGCTATGAATTAATTAAAAGATTTCATAAATATATAAATATATATATATATATATATATATATATATGTATGTATTAAATAATATTAGGTCAGCTTCAAAAATTAAATGAAACTCACCGTAAAATTAGATACTAACACCTATCATATTAAAAATCAATCCATTAAATAAAAACATTGTGGCAAAAAGGGAGAAAGAAAGCTTGTGATACCATCTTTCAATTGCGTAGACGTTCATTCAATTGGTATTTAACTTTTCTTGTGATTACATTCATGACCTCAATCAATGATTATGACCCAATTACAATCCCACGATTTTGAGTTTCTATGCTTACACATCATTTTATATGAAAAAGTATGTTCAATACTCAAATCATTAAGAAAACTATGTTTAACTTTGTTTTTTTTCAAAATCTTCCTAAAATACCCATCAAACACTTACATCATATCTTCTCTCTCTAATTACCATTTTGCCTCATATCTTCTCTCTCTAATTACCATTTTGCCCTTTCTCTCTTGATCTTTGTTTAACTTAAGATCAAAACTAACAATATTAAATTGGAACTTAAAGCATCGTGTTTCTTATTGAACTTTATTAATTAATAAAAGACTCAGAAGCCAAGAGGACTCGAACTTCCACGCTCTTTAGCACGAGATCATAAGTCTCGCGTGTCTATCAGCATTGAACATCGAGCATAAAGCGCCATCTTATTACACACTAGAGAGAGAGAGAGAGAGAGAGAGAGAGAATGGGAATCGTCTTAAGCTTGGAAGATACTGCAAATCCATTTACGGTACTGGATATGGTCACAAATGATTCGAACAGAAGAAGATGAAGGATTTTGGTTTCAACTTCAATTATCCCATCGAGCTTTTTCATATTAGATTATTGATAGGTTTTTTGGATGGCTATCACATGTCTTAGTATGGGAAAGGAGAGATAATGAGAACGGTGTTTTTGTAATTAAAAAGATAAGTATATAAGTTTAATAGTTAAAAATTGAAGCACACATATTTTTCATATACAAAGATGCATGAAGATGAAGTATAGAAACTCAAAAGTTCCATTACAATTCATTCCCTGAACTCTTCTATTCATCTATTAATCGTTCCAATTTTATTGGGAAAGTACTCCAAATGTTTTACCATTATATTGTCTTGTGCAAAACCCTAATTAACTCATTATATTTCAACTTTGATTGAATAACAATCTCATTTCAATCTAATCCAACCTTAATTGTAATAAGAAGCCAAAGGTGAGTTGCTATATGATAGATAGAAATCAATGTCCCTCTTCTATTCGGAGCAAAAAGTCAACCTTCTTCCTATTACTGAATACCAACACAAACTGGTTTCCATACTTTACTTTCGGTTTTACTTCACGTACACATTCAATTTGGAAGTCATAGAGAATTTCTTCGTCAAAGTAAACAAAAACAAAGTATTTTCAATTGTGGACACGCACATAATTCATGTAATGCATTCTAACTTTTTACAAATGGTCTTAAAAAATATCATGTAATTCATTTAAATGTTCTTAAAACGACTTCAAATATAGAGGAAGGTTCATTTAGAACCTTAAACATTATAGGAATCCAGAAACCACATCTTTTTATAAGTATTCATGATGAATAATGTAATAAAGTATTAATCACAAATATTCACAAGATAAGTGGTCCATGAGCTCCAAAAATATTTAAGGTCTAGTTGAACATGCCCATTTAACTTATCTATTAATTCATTTAACCATTATAGAAATTAGCAACCCGCTTATGACTAAGTAAAGAGATTATGAAGTTTATTTTAGAAATCACATTTAAATACGACATTAATGTATCGGCTTATAGATTATAGTAATTAGTGTATGCATCAAAAATGAAGTTCAAACTTATTATCTTTAAATGATATAATTTTTTTTATGTTAAATCACATAATATAAAAGATGTAATATTTTAATTTTGTGAAATTACTTTCCTAATTTGTTTCTAGTCAATTTTGTAATTATTATTAAAACTAATAATATCTATTTTATTTTTTGAAAATATATTCCTATATATTTAATTAATAATTAAATAAAAAAAAGATGTGTTAACCAATAGATGAGAAGTTAACTTTTTCTCCCATTTTCATGGAAAATTTCTAAAAATTACATTCGTCGAACATTAAAGTCAGCCAACGTGGCAGGACTGCGTGTACACCAACATGGCAGAAATATCATCAGACATAAAATTAGTAAATAAATTAACCCCACAAGGGTAATCTAGGAAACTTGTAATTTACCCAAACTTACATTATCTGTCTGCTTAACAAAAGGGAAATTACTAAATTACCTATGAAACACCCTAGATTTCACTAGTCAGTCCAGGTTAAAGATGGATAAGATCAAAGGGTAAAAAGGGTATTGTCATTTAAACTCCACTCATCAAACACGGTAAAATCAAAACGGAGTGTAAATAACATTATCCATAATAGTAAAAGAGAAAAAATAAAAATAAAAATAAAAATAAAAATCCTAGTAATACTAAGTGCTAAATTATAAATAAATAAATAAAAACCATTTTCAGCCTCTTCATTCAAGTCTTTCTTGTTTTCTTGGTGGAGATGTCATGGACGACATCAAGCAAAACGGTGCTTTTGCATTTAGGGCACTTAGGGTACTCCTCAGCAAGCATAACGTACATCAGGCACCGTGGGCATCCAACCAGCATCATCGATGTCGCCTCTGGGCTACTAGCGTACCGGAGCTCCGACGACTCATCTTGGATGTTCTCGGATGACACACAAGAGCTTGTAGGAGACATAGTGGCTGATCGGCTAGGTGATTCTTCCATCCGCCGGTGAGCTATTGGTGGTGACAAATTAAGCTTCAAGTCAAGCTTCCGACCGCCGCCACCACCACCACCTCCTCTACCGTTTCTTCGGCTCATCTTTTCCAAATCAATCCTTCCGGTACCTCTTTGATGAGATAGGTCAACTGTAGAATTACCAAAACACAACATCAGGATTCAAAAGTCAAACTTAACGAATCAGATCAAACTTCTGAAAACAAAAAGTTAATATGATCATAGGATATATATATATATATACACAAGATATATATTTAACGAAAACAGGTTAAGATTAGATGGTATAAGTTTAATTTACCTTGAAATTGGAAACCCCTCGGGAAGAACAAGAGAGAGAGAGAGAGAGAGAGAGAGAGAGAGAGAGATTAAGGGGGTGATCAGGAACAGCACCACCGGTGGTGAGATGGGTTTGTTGGTTTAGAGGCTCCAAGGCCATTCATACATATATTTATATATAAAATATATATGTACACAAGAACTCATAGATAGATGGGTTTGCTTTAAAGCTTAATTTAATGGTAGAGAGAGAGAGAGAGAGAGAGATTGAAGGGAGGAAGAGAGAATTGAATTGAAGGGGGTGTGGTAGAAGACGAGAGAGTTGTAAATTGAGGGGCAGGAAATGCATTAATTGTTGGAAAAAATCCCAAGATGGGTGCAGAAAGGGAAATAGGGGAATTAAATAAAATTGCAGAAGAAGCCCTCTTCATTGATTGTTTAGCCATTAGTCATTCATGATCATGTGTGCAACCTGCTGCATCTATTCATTCTTCACTGTTCATCATCACTATACCTAGCCCTTGTAGTACCATGTTCATTATATAACCAATTAACATCATTCAACATGTACATGGTATGTAGTAGGTAATATGAATTCATATCAATAATGTACAACCTAATCACCTAAACCAAGCTTTTAAACCTTAAACCAAATTTCTAGCTTATATATATATATATATATATATATATATATATATATATATATATATATATATATATATATATATATATATATATATATATATATATGTTCATATTTATGTATGACACCCTTAGACTTACCTAGACTTGGACTTATCCCCACTTATATTTACACATCAAATACCCTATTTATGGAATCTCAACCTAACAAATTCACTATTTGCCTTCTTTTCTTTACACTTTTCTATTTATAAACTCACATATCAACTTCTTATATCCACACAAACATGTATCTCCTTTGTATCACAAATATATACATGTATTCATTGAAATACAATTGACATGAAGGGATATCTGGGACACTTCATTCGTATTAAAACAAGTAGCTTATAGTATTATGATCACCAATTTAAGAAAACGAAAAATTGGTAGCCTTTGTCGTTCATGTTACCTTCTATTTCACTTATTCATTATTAGTTGTTGTGCTTAATTACTTTTCAAGTATGTAGACATTTCACTTGGGTGTTCTTTTAAAAGTCATGTGGATTGTTAAGTTGTTCACCCAAGCTTGCATTTCGTCCAAGATTCGGCCTCTGCACTTTCCATGTGTTCGTTATTCCCTGTTAGAGTTGGGGTTTTTGTGAGGAATCGTTGAAAATAGACATGGATAGAATCTTGGATTGTGTATATAAAAACATTTTTTGTAACTAAGTATTTCAACCTTATTAACGCCTCAAGATTTTATGAAACTTACTCGAGGATAATCCAAATTCCCACGCTAGTTTTTAGGCGGAAATAAAGAGTAAAAACACAGAGCTTATTATGTTCGTATGTAGAAACGAAACCCAAATACCTTTCAAAAGGTATGTAGTTATTGCAATTACTAGCGGTTAACTAGTAGTTACGAGAGATCATGCGCTTCTTTTCTATAGCTGATAAAAGTCATTGTTTTAGACTATGCATATATGCAGAAAGCCCAATTGTCTAGCATTAATCTCGGTGTCAGCTCCATTGAAAGAAGATGAGGCCCCCTTGACCTTTGTTGTATAGCAATCGTAGATTCAAGTTAGCTTATACAATCCTATGTGCTCTCCGCTTGTACTCCTAACCATATTATAGCTTAACCAAAAACTCTTCAGTCTCTTGTAAATCTCAATTTTACCAAATGATCAGTAACACTAAAATCACCTATATATATTCATTCACTCTCCTTTGGATTCCATATAACATCTTCAAGAATGAACCGATATCTTATTTCAAGTCGGTCATTTGAGTCTTGATAGTTTAGATTAAATATTATCAATATTTTCAAGGTTCTAAATGACAATACGGCTTAACGTAGTGACAAGTTCAAACTTTAAGCCTTAAACACCATGGTAATGATGCAATGTTTTTCAAAGTGTGACGTAAAGCGGTAAATTAATTTGTATGTCATGGATATAATCATATATATATACATATATGTATTCTAATTCTTATTCATTAAGGTAGTAATATTAAAAAAAAACGAAAAATCATATATGAAATTCAAACATAATCTTTAAATCATACTGAATAAGATTCTTTTTAGTATATTTGTTCTTAAAAAAATATTTTCCAATAATTACTTAAATGTTATTAAATTAATACAACCAAACACAGTAATTATTTTAATTGTCTTTTAAATGTCAAAAACTAAGTTTATTTAATAGATTAAATGCATTTGGTTAGGTTTTAAATTGATTTATCAAATTATAAATATCATGTTTTTAGTCAATTTTGATTAACAAACCAAAACTATTACTATTTGGAACTACTTTGCTTCATATAATTAAAAGTATTGATGGTACATTGAGACCTAACTTATCTTTACTCATTTGGTGTCTATTTATGTCTATGTTCCATCTATCTAATTTTATGAACACAAAATAAAAATGCAAAAGCAAAATTAAACCCTTCAACTTTTTAACTTTATACACACACACACACATATATATATATATATATAGATATCAAAATAAATAAAATAAGATATTATTTTATGATTTGGTTTGATTTGTTTAAATTAAAAAATATTCATTAACCACCGAATAGATTTTACTTTACCTTTTTCTTTTTTTGTAATCAATTACATAAGCCAAGAAGCTTTGACACCGCTTTTGAATACACTTTCGGGCCTTTAAAACATAAATCAAGCTTGTATGACGATTCCGCCGATCACCATAAATCACAATCAACCCTTTACCCAGCAGATAAATACGTATCATTTTCTTGTTGCATACAATATTTGTCTTATTCTCTGACAGCCAATACATACCCACCACCACATCAAATTCTCTTATCGGTATAGGAAATAATCAGATCGGTACAACACACCCTTCTATCTCTATTGGCAGTCATTATAAACTTTGGGGACAGAGACATGACTATCATTAGCTGTATCAACTACTAATACGCAGTCTAAACGTAATGGTGACACAAAAGAATAATTCGCACCAGAGTCAAATAACACCTTAGCATATACGGAATTTATAAGAAACTTACCTGTCACCAAATTTGGAATTTCCATCGCTTCCCATCTGGCATTTGGAATGATTGTCCATTTTCCCTTTCTGGTTTGCTTTTTTTATACCCCTATGGTTGCTCTGAATGTATATATATACAGGAGGCTAATCAAATGAGAATTAGATCATTTGTGGTAATTGTAAAGTCTAATAGGAGCCAATCATTTTAGATAATTAATGTTATTTATTAAAATAAAACAAATGGTATTAGTAAATTTTACAACTTATAAAAACTTAAATGTTAAATCTTTTTTGGAATTTGAAACTCCAAATAAATTTGACCGGTCGTTTCTTCATCCTCCCTTAGTATCCATTTCCAAAAGCTCCACATGCTCCACCGATCTCAACCATTCTTTCTGCCGATGTCAACCATTCTCCGCCGATCTCAACCATCTCCATCTCAACCACGGCGATGCTGAATGGAGAGTCGCACAGATCTGGCTTCTACCATAGTATCTCAACCAGTTCGATGGCTTCTTCCAATCGAGAAAAACAACCTAGATCGATTTCGGTAATTATTCATATCCGCATAGATATGGTTTTCTCACACCCAGATTAGTTTCAATTTCTGGTTTTTGCACAAATCTCGTTTTTGATCGGAGACGTAACCATATCTTGCTGGAAATGTAATGCAGATATCGACGGAGATGTAACCCATATGTCATAAGAGATGTAACTCCGAAGATGTAAGGTTTTTGGATAAAACCTAGATATCGCCGGAGATGTAACGTTGGGTGTAATACAGTGGTATCACGTACAGTTGTATTCATCAACCAAATCTAGTATGATAGTGGTATAATAATGTATATCACAGTGTGTTTTTGTTCTTATACGAAGTGTATCACAATGTATTTTGTTGTTTTACGAAGTGTAACACAATGTATTAGGTAATGTTGTTTTACTAAGTGTATCACACTGTGTTTTTTTCGTTATTTTATGAAGGGTATCATAGTGTGCATCATATATTTAACGAAATAAAGTTCGCAGGAATAAGGTTCGCCAGAGAGATGAGAGATAAAAAAATTTTAAAATACATAAAATGCTCTTTAATTAAAATTTTAAGTCAAATTACCAAAATTATTAGTTTTCTAATTTGATTATTGATTTGTAGTTGAGATTGGATCTCACAGTTATCACAAACTAATCAGTTATTTCTTGAATAACCCCCTATATATATATATATAATTGGTATATTGATTATTTAAGTTGAAAAAGATAATGAAAACATATGCTACACTTATTACCCATGCTTATCAACGAAGTTGGATTTGACGATATGCAGAAAATGTATAATTGGTGAGTTACACAGTTTGTCCTTGTGTTTTTACTATTTTTTTGATTTAACTCCTTATTTTTTCTTAAAAAACATTACGTATTAAATTATATTTAATATAAACGATAAATTTGTAATGTTTAAACCGGATAAGAGCATCCAACAATATTGATGCTTTTATTGTTTCTTTCATTCTTCATCTTCAACAAGATCAGCACCGACCTCCTCTCCCTACGGCTTCCCTCCTCCGTTACCGGCCTCCTCATCTACGGATTTCCTATCCCTTCTCCATATCTAGTTGCGACGACAATGGTTTGAGCTTGGTTGTACATACGTCTTCGGGTGCCATCTCTTATTCGTTCATCAATACACCAGTGTGCCCGCTCCTCTTCTCCATCAAACTGGTGCCATACCACAGACACCCTCATTTGAGTTTGTAGTTTACACACACATGGAATTAAGGTTTTGATCTTTTTGATTTAAAATATCTGAGGGTTTTGATAATAGATTTATATAACGTTTTATTTTATAGTTCTTTTTTTTATTTGAGACGTGTGTCTGTATTAGTTCATTAACAAGAAATCTACAATTTAGTTGTGTTGTTGTTTAATGAAACCCTAGATGATTATGGATTTGGATTTTTAATTTGAGTTTCGCATCCCCACTTCAATTTGGGTTTGGAACTGTTTTTTTGTTTCTTCAATCATTTTATGG